AGCACAGCCATACCAGAATCATCTACCAATCAGCTGAGCATGGAAATTATAAATACTTCCAACTTTGAGCACGAGGGAATCATCTCTCTCTCACATGGATTTACTCACTACTGCATGTCAACGGATTTGAGCTGAAACATGACTGACAGCTGTCATTAAGGTGACAGATCATATCTCACATAGACTGACATAAGACAGTCCTTTAGTTTGTAGAGTACAGATACATGTGGCAGGAGACAGACGGTGTAAAGAATGGGACACTGGTTAGTACTGTATGTCCTGCTGCTGGAAGAGGGCAGATAAGGAGAGCAGAGTCTTACCTGTATGGAGTTTGAGTACGCCCCTCTCTCCTCCACTGGCGGGAACACCTGCCGTCCTCCTCCCCTGAAGAAGCGAAAGAGGGCAATAAGAACCCACCGCAGCATACTGCCTGTGTTTCTATTGCTCCCTCCTATCCCTCTGTATCCCTTTCTTTATCTCTATGTTTCGTTTTCTATTTGTCTCTCTGTCCTTCAGCCACTAATACTATCTCTCTATCAGTCTATTTGTCTCTGTCCTTCAGCCACTAATACTATATCTCTATCAGTCTATTTGTCTCTGTCCTTCAGCCACTAATACTATCTCTCTATCAGTCTATTTGTCTCTGTCCTTCAGCCACTAATACTATCTCTCTATCAGTCTATTTGTCTCTGTCCTTCAGCCACTAATACTATCTCTCTATCAGTCTATTTGTCTCTGTCCTTCAGCCACTAACACTATCTCTCTATCAGTCTCTTTGGCTCTCTTCCTCTATTACTCTCCTGGTTGTCAGAGTCAGTGGAGACAGAGTCTCAGTACATAAACAAGCCTACACATTTCTATGCATGCTCCAGGCTTCTCTCTCGATCTACCCCTCTCTCCGTCTCTCTCTCAAGGCTCTCTTCAAATCTCCTCCCCTCCAACATTCACTCCACTCAGCCCCGCCCCCCTTGTCTCTCACAATAATACTGTGAGTGGGGTTATTATGTTGTGTGTGTGTGTGTGTGTGTGTGTGTGTGTGTGTGTGTGTGTGTGTGTGTGTGTGTGTGTGTGTGTGTGTGTGTGTGTGTGTGTGTGTGTGTGTGTGTGTAGAGGGTTTGGGCAATCCGTATATGCCCACTGGTATGGAAACTACATGTTTGTGTGAGTGTCTGTGAATATCCCCAATGTCATCCCCACCTGTTCCAGAACAACTGCAGGGTTCCATAAACAGACAGAGAAGCAAAGAGGAAATACCTACAGTAGTATCTCTCTCTCTCTCTCTCTTTCTCTCCTCTCTCGCTCGCTCTCTCACTCACACGCACGCTCGCACACACACACACAGGGATATTGATCTTTAAGTGCCGGTGAGTGAGAGAGATATTGTTTCAGACCAGGGTCAGAGAGGCTGGCTGGCTCAGTGGGGGTTGCCTTTGTGCAAACTCTTATAACAGAAGGTCTATTAGCTTATAATAGCACTGTCAGGTTGGTCTGTAGTGTACTGTAGGTAGCCTTTGATAACTGGTTCTGTTTTAGATTTAATTAAATGAAGGTATTTATGTTTTTTGTATTAAGTTCTAATCATCCAGGAGGATGCTTGTTATATCAATGTGACATCAATGATGATGTTTGGTCCCATGAAAACATCCCATGATGAGGCATCTCTATTGACACAAGATCCATTTGAATCATATTAGCAACAAAACAGTCAAGAGGTGGTAGCATCAAATGACTTTCCAGTTAAAAGGTTTTGTTAATGATAGGCTAAAGCTGAACACAGATAGAACATCGGGGGAATAATATGCAACACAATCTCCTTTGTATGATAATGAGGGCAAATAGCATAGACCCTGATATCATAACGGGCCTGTCCCCTGTCAAGAGTTCAAAACTGCTGCACCTACTGAAAAGCACAGCAAAGAAAACAACCATAAATCCACCAGCATGTGCATTTGGCATAACTGTGAAATGAGACACAGATAATAAGACAAAGAAGGCCTCCAGAGAGGCGCAGCGGTCTAAGGCACTGCATCGAACCCGGGTCTGCACTACAGACCACTACAGACCCGGGTTCAATCCGAGGCTGAGTCACAACCGGCCGTGACCGGGAGTCCCATGGGGCGGCGCACAATTGGCCCAGCGTCATCCGTGTTAGGGGAGGGTTTGGCCGGAGGAGCTTTACTTGGCTCATCGCGCTCTAGCAACTCTTTGTGGCGGGCCGGGCGCCTGCAGGCCGACTTCGGTCGTCAGTTGAACGGTGTTTCCTCTGACACATTAGTGCAGCTGACTTCCGGGTTAAGTGGGCGGGTGTTAAGGAGCACGGTTTGGCGGGTCATGTTTCGGAGGACGCATGACTCGACCTTCGCCGAGCCCGTTGGGGAGTTGCAGCGATGAAACAAGATCATAATTGAAATTGGGAGAAAAAGGGGGTAAAATACTAAAAATGCAACAACAACAACATTTATAATAATAAGACAAAGAAAACTTAATAGGCTCATGTGATTCTATTAGCTGTGAATAAAATACCACACAATCTCCCATCAAGCATAAAACCGAATTACAGAATATAAACTAGGGTATCAGTGAGGATTTCCTACACTGGACAACTTGTTACAGCTGTTGATAAATCATTGATAATAATCTAGAAAAAAATGTTATGTCATTACATTAAGATATAAGGGGGATCATAGCTATATATTTTTTAAAATCACAAGTTGATTTAAAAGCTGTTTAATCCTTTATCATGGTTGGTGTCTTGACGGATTTGTCCAAAATCGTGAGACATTATACATTATTTTTCTGTCCTTGCATTTATGGGAGTGTAAGTTGTCGTTATATCGTACAGTATATTAAGATTTAATCAGTTAAATTAGACATTGAACTTGAACCCTGTAAGAATCCTGGATCTAGCTGTAGGACAGTTTTTTGCATAGAGATCTCAGAAATGCAGTGTAACTATGTAACATTTCATGTATACTTATGTTACATGGTGAAAACAGTTTTCATGGGCACACAATGTCTATATTAGACCCTATATGTAAAATTATATAAATTATACAATTGTTTAACATTGAGGTCCTTGAAAATTACAATTAAGTGCTTGAAAAAGTCCCTGAAAGTCCTTCAATTATTTGACTTGCCAGCCTGCTTAAAGGATGTATATAGTCCTAGGGCTATATGTTGTTGTATAGGTGGAGTTATGGGCCAATTTGCATATACTCGCTTCCTCTAAGTACACATGTGGAACTGCAAAATGTTTATCTCAATGTCACACATTGGCCCTATTGTTTATAGAAAGACCCTTATCTCTGAATGGTTTAGTGATAATTATTTGCGTGATAAAAATAATCAACTACCCCTGAATGAGAGCTGACTAGCAGAGAGTTCATCAAAATATTCACTTGAGCAATAAGCAATTTATTGACATGACCAAACATGAGATGTATACAAGCAATAAAAAATATTATAAAAGTTGAGAAAACATATACAGTTGAAGTCGGAAGTTTACATACACTTAGGTTGGAGTCATTAAAACTCGTTTTTCAACCACTCCACAAATTTCTTGTTAAAAAACTATAGTTTTGGCAAGTCGGTTAGGACATCTACTTTGTGCATGACACAAGTCATTTTTCCAACAATTGTTTACAGACAGATTATTGCACATATAATTCACTGTATCACAATTCCAGTGGGTCAGAAGTTTACATACACTAAGTTGACTGTGCCTTTAAACAGCTTGGAAAATTCCAGGAAATTACGCGTTCTGTCTCCTAGAGATGTATTTATTTTTATTTTACCTTTATTTAACTAGCCAAGTCAGTTAAGAACAAATTCTTATTTACAATGACGGCCTACACTGGCCAAACCCGGTGTGCGCCGCCCTATGGGACTCCCAATCACGGCCGGTTGTGATACAGCCTGGAATCGAACCAGGGGGTCTGTAGTGACGCCTCAAGCACTGAGATGCAGTGCCTTAGACCGCTGCGCCACTCGGGAGCGTACATTGGTGCGAAAAGTGCAAATCAATCCCAGAACAACAGCAAAAGACCTTGTGAAGATGCTGGAGGAAGCAGGTACAAAAGTATCTACATTAAAACGAGTCCTATATCAACATAATCTGAAAGGCCGCTTAGCAAGGAAGAAGCCACTGCTCCAAAACCGCCATTAAAAAGCCAGACTACGGTTTGTAACTGCACATGGGGACAAAGATCGTACTTTTTGGAGAAATGTTCTCTGGTCTGATGAAACAAAATAGAACTGTTTGGCCATAATGACCATCGTTGTGTTTGGAGGAAAAAGAGGGTGGCTTGCAACACGAAGAACACCATCCCAACCGTGAAGCACGGGGGTGGCAGCATCATGCTGTGGGGGTGCTTTGCTGCAGGAGGGACTGCACTTCACAAAATAGATGGCATCATGAGGAAGGAAAATTATGTGGATATATTGAAGCAACATCTCAAGACATCAGTCAGGAAGTTAAAGCTTGGTCGCAAATGGGTCTTCCAAATGGACAATGACCCCAAGCATACTTCCAAAGTTGTGGCAAAATGGCTTAAGGAAAACAAAGTCAAGGTATTGGAGTGGCCATCACAAAGCCCTGACCTCAATCCTATAGAAAATGTGTGGGCAGAACTGAAAAAGTGTGTGTGAGCAAGGAGGCCTACAAACCTGACTCAGTTACACCAGCTATGTCAGGAGGAATGGGCCAAAATTCACCCAACTTATTGTGGGAAGCTTGTGGAAGGCTACCCGAAACGTTTGACCCAAGTTAAACAATTTAAAGGCAATGCTACCAAATACTAATTGAGTGTATGTAAACTTCTGACCCACTGGGAATGTGATGAAAGAAATAAAAGCTGAAATAAATCAATCACTCTCTACTATTATTCTGACATTTCACATTCTTAAAATAAAGTGTTGATCCTAACTGACCTTAGACAGGGAATTTTTACTAGGATTAAATGTCAGGAATTGTGAAAAACTTAAATGTATTTGATAAGGTGTATGTAAACTTCCGACTTCAACTGTATATACCGGTATTACATTTAACTATCTTTCTACCCTGGACAGTATTTTGTTATGAGTGGAATATGTCAGTATTGTAACGGAAATGGTTAGCATGCCATTAGATAAACACCTCACTCTATTTTGTCCTTCAGAAAGCCTTTAAAGATTAATGACACCAGATCACCACCGGGGACATATATTCCTTCCATGGTTTCTAATCTAGCTCCATGATGGACCATTGAAAAAGTTATTCTAAAACCTTTTGTACCAGCAATTGGCATGCAGGGCTTCCACTTCCATTAAACATAGAGAAATTAAATCAATGTCAGGTAATTAAATGACAGACCAGTCAGCAAGATCTAAAGGTCTGCAGGATGGGGAAGTGAGAAAAGCTGCTCTAAAATCTAAGATTCCATAATGAATGTAGAATTTTTGTGTCAAGTATGAGCAGGTTACATTAATGTGTGAAGTTTAATGGGGGTAGTGATGTAAGAACTGGGGGTGAATGGGAGTGCATGGTTGTTACCAGGGGTGACTGAGCCACTTCACCAGCCCTGAGTTCCTAATGTAAAGCCACTACCCACACAGCCTCACATCTAATGACATAGAGCTGAAAAATAAAAGGATATTAGAAAGCCTTTTTATTGAGCGAGAGGCACTTAGCCCCACAAGAGCACCAATAAAACTTTATGGGCGATTGAGAATGGTGGGGGGGGGGGGGGGGGGGGGGGGGGGGGGGGGGGTCTAATGTGATGTAGCAACATGCCAGAGACCCAGTCCTAAACCCTTTAAGGTACATTAACATTACAATATAACCTAAGAGAATAATAATATAATGCTAATGTAGGAAAACATTGAAACTGGGAACAGCGGGTGTGTGTGATCTGGTATGTAAACCTAACCCATGCTTTGTTTTTTTAAGAAAAGCAGAGGTAGGCAACATGCAACGTGATGGTGAATGGAAGTAACGTTGTGTAAATGTCCTCATTTTTATGTTAAGGTACTGTTAAAGGATTAGTCAATTAATGAAAGTGATATAAACTGCACATCACTGCAATGCAACAAGCTGTGGTCTTGAGTAATGACAGGGTTTTCAATCCTGCTCTCCAATAATTACTGACAACCACTGTTACCATAATGACATGAACAGAAAGCTCTGTGTCTAAACTTAGATGGCTTTATGTCTGCAGCTCTCCAACCTTGTCATTATGTCCCAATCAAAGGGAACCTCAAAGTCAACATGGCGTTTAGATGATATTTCTCACATGCCTCTAATATTATTGTTTGAGTTTGTTGTTATAGTGTAGTTCTATACTGCCTCCCCTATTATTACCCTCAGGCCTGTATGTTTTCATTTCAATATACTGTAGAATGAAGCTGTCTCTGTTCTTGCTAGGGATCATGGGTGTGGGTGAGGGCTATACTGTAGCTATGGGTTATAAATAGGGTCAACCAAACCAATATAACAGAGAAAAATACACTTTGTGGTTATTAACTTAAAATAAAAGCTTTTTTATATATTTTTGAGATTAATTGAAGATGCGAAAAAGTATCTGGAAGATACTTTTGGAAGATACTTTTGGGATGGAAAACCAGGATTAGGTTATTTCCCCTTCTGCCTCAGATCAGGAATCAGGCCTGGAAGCTGCAGGCCACAGGTCACCATCGTGCTATATGAAAAAATAAAAATAAAATAATACATAAAATAAAGAGCTGAGGAAAGCAAAAATGCACAAGTAGAACATGTTGCAGTGCACACAAAAGGACACTACCTGGAGGTTCATAAAAGTGGCCAGCCACTCAATCAATTCGTTCTCTGATTCACAGCACAGGTACCTAAGAAGATTGCGAGAGGGGGTGAGAGATAGAGAGGCTATAGATATACCATGATCCTCAGTGCTCTAGTTACTACGGTTGACCTATCGTTAGTTGCTACTAAAGATACTCACCACAGCTGTTTGTCTCGTTCTGCCTGCTCACACACTACAGTCATCCCCCAGCTAGAAGAAGAGGAGTGAATGTACATGATATGGACAGCTGATATGGAACAACAAACAGCCAAATGGCTGAGGAAATAGACCAGTAGTCATTGCAGGGTTGCTGGTAGACTCTCACCATGATGGTGGATGTAGCCTCTTCTTGATGCCATAGTAGACCTTCAGAGCATGGACTGGACATTCCCTCTCAGGCTGAGTACTCTAGTAAAGAGTAAAGATGGACAATTGAAGCTATACTGCCACATACTGTAGGTACTTCATACAGTCACAGAAACAGAATAGGTCTACACATCCTTCTTCCATCCTCACTTACCTTCACTCCTTTGTAGAGCCTGAGAGAGGTGCCATCGAGCACACAGAGGCGTCTGCTGAAGGTTCCTTTTCCCCTTTTGACCCTTCTCATCACTGAACTTAATCAGGCCATTTCTGGACACGTCTACCTTGCCAGCTGTGAGAGGGGATATCCAACTCTAATTCACTTCACTGTCTGATTTTCAACCATATCATTAAATAACACGTTGCCTTCCCTTTCCCTCCCTTTGGATTATTTTTCTGTTATCAATACTATTATTTACAGAAAGTATCTACAATATGTAATTTATTCAAAAGTGCTCTTTACTGAGCTGGAATAATAATATATATCGGTAATCATGCATTTACCTATGTAGATTAACATGGCCTCCATGTAGCAGTTCCTCTTGACCACCAGGTGACAATCTTTACCCAGAGAGAAATAGATGGCCAGCGCTCGCTCCTGGTAGTGCAATGGACGCTCTGTTGGGGGAATCAGAGAAGACACATCGTATTTTACCACTAGTTTGCAGTTGAGCATTAGCGTTCATCATGCATATAAAGATATCACACTTCATTAATAATAGTTGTCCTACTTTGGCTTATACATTTAAAAAGGGACTTGGCAACTTGTAACTGAGGTGTTCTAAACCATTACCCATCTCCTGGTTGTCGTTGACCAGGAAGCATCTCCAATAGTCCCCCTGCTGGGGAGGGATGTTCCCGCGTCTCAGGACCTCACACACCAGCTCATCAGCACTCACTGCCTGGGAGATCTGAGGGAGAAGAGCAGGCAGAGTTAGCATTAGGAGCAGGCAGGGTTACCGTTAGGAGCAGGCAAGGGAGCTTACAGTGAGGGAAAAAAGTATTTGATCTGTCAGCCAGTCATGGATAATTAAGTGTTGATTTCACCTTGCCTGGTGGGACCACAGAGACTGAGGATCCTATCACTGTCTGACTGCTAATACTAATACAGGGAGGGGAAAAAGGATTTGATCCCCTGCTGATTTTGTACCTTTGCCTACTGACAAAGACATGATCAGTCTATAATTTTAATGGTAGGTTTATTTGAACAGTGAGAGACAGAATAACAACAACAAAAAACAGAAAAACGCATGTCAAAAATGTTATAAATTGATTTGCATTTTAATGAGGGAAATAAGTATTTGACCCCTCTGCAAAACATGACTTAGTACTTGGTGGCAAAACCCTTGTTGGCAATCACAGAGGTCAGACGTTTCTTGTAGTTGGCCAACAGGTTTGCACACATCTCAGGAGGGATTTTGTTCCACTCCTCTTTGCAGATCTTCTCCAAGTCATTAAGGTTTCGAGGCTGACGTTTGGCAACTCGAACCTTCAGCTCCCTCCACAGATTTTCTATGGGATTAAGGTCTGGAGACTGGCTAGGCCACTCCAGGACCTTAATGTGCTTCTTCTTGAGCCACTCCTTTGTTGCCTTGGCCGTGTGTTTTGGGTCATTGTCATGCTGGAATAGCCAATCCACTACCCATTTTCAATGCCCTGGCTGAGGGAAGGAGGTTCTCACCCAAGATTTGACGGTACATGGCCCCGTCCATCGTCCCTTTGATGCGGTGAAGTTGTCCTGTCCCCTTAGCAGAAAAACACCCCCAAAGCATAATGTTTCCACCTCCATGTTTGATGGTGGGGATGGTGTTCTTGTGGTCATAGGCAGCATTCCTCCTCCTCCAAACACGGCGAGTTGAGTTGATGCCAAAGAGCTCGATTTTGGTCTCATCTGACCACAACACTTTCACCCAGTTCTCCTCTGAATCATTCAGATGTTCATTGACAAACTTCAGACGGCCCTGTATATGTGCTTTCTTGAGCAGGGGGACTTTGCGGGCGCTGCAGGATTTCAGTCCTTCATGGCGTAGTGTGTTACCAATTGTTTTCTTGGTGACTATGGTCCCAGCTGCCTTGAGATCATTGACAAGATCCTCCCGTGTAGTTCTGGGCTGATTCCTCACCATTCTCATGATCATTGCAACTCCACGAGTGGAGCATGGAGCCCCAGGCCGAGGGAGATGGACATTTCTTTTGTGTTTCTTCCATTTGCGAATAATCACACCAACTGTTGTCACCTTCTCACCAAGCTGCTTGGCGATGGTCTTGTAGCCCATTCCAGCCTTGTGTAGGTCTACAATCTTGTCCCTGACATCCTTGGAGAGCTCTTTGGTCTTGGCCATGGTGGAGACTTTGGAATCTGATTGATTGATTGCTTCTGTGGACAGGTGTCTTTTATACAGGTAACAAACTGAGATTAGGAGCACTCCCTTTAAGAGTGTGCTCCTAATCTCAGCTCGTTACCTGTATAAAAGACACCTGGGAGCCAGAAATCTTTCTGATTGAGAGGGGGTCAAATACTTATTTCCCTCATTAAAATGCAAATCAATTTATAACATTTTTGACATGCGTTTTTCTGGATTTTTTTGTTGGTATTCTGTCTCTCACTGTTCAAATAAATCTACCATTAAAATTATAGACTGATCATGTCTTTGTCAGTGGGCAAACGTACAAAACCAGCAGGGGATCAAATACTTTTTTCCCTCACTGTATATGATTATCTGGGCACAAAGCATTGCAGAAGAACACCCCATACTGTAGCATTTGGATTCTAAAGTTAAAGGTGAAAGCTGAAAGGTGAGAGTGCACATGGAGCTGACCTGAACCAGCAGCTCAGAGCCCTCCTCCTTCCTCTCCAGGTAAACCCCACAGATGGTGAGAGGTGAGGGGGTCCCCTACAGAACAGAATGAAGAGAGAGACACAGCAGGCCAACAGCCATCCTCAGTCCAGCAAATAGTAAGAGATAGATAGGTCATGGAAGCCAGGATTTAATCATTTCAGTTGGGTGGCAAACGACTGCTGCAAGGGGTTCTGAAAACTGCTGCAAGGGGTTCTGAAAACTGTTGCAAGGGGTTCTGAAAATGTAATCATGCCATGGGTGTGTTCTCACCTCCTCAGCGTGTTCCTCCTGTGCTTTGATGACATGAGAGATCATGTCCAGCTGCCTCTGAAGCTGCTCTGCATCCACCTGCCACACAGACAAACAGACACATCCATCCATTTGATCAGAACATTTCATTTAGCTTCTTGTGACAACACAGTACATTTCCCTCTCTTTATCTTCTATAAATCAGTGATGTCATCAGTGTGAGACAGACCCACTCACATTGAAGATGTCCTGGTAGTTCTGGATGAGCTCCTCTACCACCTGTCCTACGCTGTTATCAGTGCCGTCCGTCTGGAAGAGCGTGGGACCAAACACAATGGCCAGGTTGTGCATGTTCATCTGATTCTCATCTGCAAAGCACTGGACGCTTTCGGAACAAAATCGACAGATTTGTACAAGAGATTTCTCAACAGTGATGCATGTCTTGAACTTTCAAAGACAAAGTAGTCAATTCCCTATATATAAACAATAACAATTCTACATTTAGGTGAATAAAGGACAACTGTCCCAAATGTAAACTCATATTCTCATCAGGTTCAGTGGGAAAGAGTAAGATAAGCCAGAATGGAGGGAAGAAAAAGAGAGGAGAGGAGGACAGGCGGACAGAGGTGGAGAGTTGAGGCTGACCAGTAGAGGTGGTTGATGACAGCCCCCAGAGTGGCTCTGTTGACTGGGGGGAGGCTGTGAAGGAGGGCCTGGTACTTGGACACTCTCTCTCTCATCTCACTGACAGCTGGTGGCCAAAAAAGAAAAACACCTACACATTACAGCACAAAACTCCTTATCATGGGGATACCAATGATCCGACTACCAAGACGAGCAGTGAAAAGCAGTGGTGTGGTCATTGTGGTCCACCAGTATTAGAATGAAGGTAGGCCAGACTCACTAGTGGTGTGGAGCCATGGCAGAGAGGCCTGATGGCCATTGAAAACCCCCTCTCCCACTTCCCTGAGGAACCTCTTCAGGACGTTGGCCACATTATCCACCTGATCCTCCCCTTCACTCAGACGGACCTGCCGGGCGTCATGGCGGAGAGAGAGCAGCAGGGCGGTGATCTTGGAGTTCACACCACACCTCCGATAGATGCCCTCTGACTTCAAACCTGGAAAGGGGGAGGAAAAAACCTCATAAACAAACACAAAAACACTATACCATTAACACAGACACTGATAGAGTCAAATAATGGAGCTGGTAAGAGCACATATTTTGTTAGGTCTCCGTCCCAACCGATGCCATGCTAGGTCCACCCACCATGCTGTGTGATGTAGCTAATGCAGCGATCCACGATGACAGGGACGTCTGTCTCAGTGAGCTGCTGCTGGTCCAGGGGGCTATCTCCTCTCCCTAAGCCCTGCTGGATGCCACTCAGCCAGCCCTGGAAGTCAGGCCTCCTGTCCCACTCCACATGCAGCCTCCTGCCTCTGTTCACCAGCACAACAGCACCAGCCTCCTGCTGCACGGCTGGGACAGCACATCACATCACAGCACATCACACACTGTCTACATCAATTGTCAACCACAGTAGCTCTATTACAAAGTCTATTAAAATGTCACTCACATTCTTGGTCCACCAAACTAAAACACTTCTCCCTCTACAGTTAGGGAAACTATTCAGACCCCTTGACTTTTTCCACATTTTGTTACGTTACAGCCTTATTCTAAAATGTTTTTACTCATCAATCTACATACAATAACCCATAATGACAAAGCGAAAACAGGCTTTTAGAAATGTAAGCAAATTTATAAAAATAACAATAACAATAATTATTATTTACGTAAGTATTCAGACCCTTTGCTATGAGACTCGAAATTGAGCTCAGGTGCATCCTGTTTCCATTGATCATCCTTGAAATGTTTCTACAACTTGATTAGAGTCCACCTGTGGTAAATTCAATTGATTGGACATGATTTGGAAAGGCACACACCTGTCTATATAAGGTCCCACAGTTGACAGTGCATGCCAGAGCAAAAACCAAGCCATGAGGTCGAAGGAATTGTCTGTAGAGCTCAGAGACAGGATTGTGTCGAGGCACAGATCTGTGGAAGGGTACCAAAAAATGTATGCAGCATTGAAGATCCCCAAGAACACAGTGGCCTCCATCATTCTTAAATGGATGAAGTTTGGAACCACCAAGACTCTTCCTAGAGGAGATGGGAGAACCTTCCAGAAGGGCAACCATCTCTGCAGCACTCCATCAATCAGGCCTTTATGGTAGAGTGGCCAGACGGAAGCCACTCCTCAGTAAAAGGCACATGACAGCCCGCTTGGAGTTTGCCAAAAGGCACCTAAAAACTCTCAGACCATGAGAAACAAGATTATCTGGTCTGATAAAACCAAGATTGAACTCTTTGGCCTGGATGCCAAGCGTCACGTCTGGAGGAAACCTGGCAACATCCCTACGGTGAAGCATGGTGGTGGCAGCATCATGCTGTGGGGATGTTTTTCAGCGGTAGGGACTGGGAGACTAGTCAAAATCTAGGGAAAGATGAATGGAGCAAAGTACAGAGAGATCCTTGATGAAAACCTGCTCCAGAGAGCTCAGGACCTCAGACTGGGGCGAAGGTTCACCTTCCAACAGGACAACGACCCTAAGCACACAGCCAAGACAATGCAGGAGTGGCTTCGGGACAAGTCTCTGAATGTCCTTGAGTGGCCCAGCCAGTGCCTGGACTTGAACCCGATCGAACATCTCTGGAGAGACCTGAAAATAGCTGTGCAGAAACGTTCCCCATCCAACCTGACAGAGCTTGAGAGGATCTGCAAAGAAGAATGGGAGAAACTCCCCAAATACAGGTGTGCCAAGCTTGTAGCGTCATACCCAAGAAGACTCAAGGCTGTAATCGCTGCCAAAGGTGCTTCAACAAAGTACTGAGTAAAGGGTCTGAATACTTATGTAAATGTGATATTTCAGTTTTAAATTTTTATACATTTGCAAGATTTTCTAAAAACCAATTTTTTTCTTTGTCATTATGGGGTATTGTGTGTAGATTGATGGGGGGGGGGAACTATTTAATCCACTTTAGAATAAGGCTGTAACGTAACAAAATGTGGAAAAGGTGAAGGAGTCTGAATACCTTCGAATGCACTGTATGCCCCACTGTGGCAGGTTCAGGTGTGACTCACAGAGCTCCTGTAGTTTTCGCAGGTCAATGTTATCCACTTGGTCTTCTCCGTGGAGGAGGAGGAGCAGTCTGGAGCCCCCCAGGGAGAACCAGCCCAGGCGAGGGCAATGGAAGCTCTGGCCTGCAGTGTAGCGCAGCCGGCCCACCCGCTCAAAGGACCAGCACACCAGGTCCTCCCCTACAGGGGGGACCAGGGCCTGACACACAACAAGACAAGGCAGTAGCTATACACTAGCAAAACTACCAATTACCAGTCTATCATAATACTAATTGAAATCTAGTTTTACCTTGCCGATGGCCTTGATCCACTCCCTCACCGTGTCAGGGGAATCCTCTCCAAACAGGTAGACTCTCCCAGAGTCATGGTACAGCTCAAAGGAATGACAATAACTGACTCAACAGGAAACACATATAGAATATGTACAAATATAAACATTATTCTGAAGCTCACACAGTTTTGGATTAATACACTATATCATGTTGTGTTACCCATGTTTCCCTTGTGGATTGACCACCAGACAAAGGACATCACTCATCTTCATCTGTCCACTCTGACTGGAGCTCTTCTCACTCTCATAGTAGCTGAAGTTACCTTGGTTCAGAGAGCACCAGCGACGACTAAAATCTACATGTTCCAAAATGCTACAATTAGCTCACGGTAACTGAATTTACATTAAAACACTGTCACTTATCCAAAAGGAATATCAAATTGGAAGTTTGCAAGTTGCTCACTAATTCATCTGAAATTCAGATCTAAAGCATGTCCAAACAGTTTACAAACAGAATATCAAGAATGACCCACCTCCTTTTGATTTGCGCTCTGTAACTGCTCGTGTTGAGGAGGCAGTCTTGAACAGATAACCAGTGTGTGAGACGGGGAGAGCAGCCTCTAAGACTGTGTGATCTCCAGCCCTTGACCCTGGGAGCTCTGGAGAGAGGAAATACATACTGATGATGTCACCTCTACTGAACAATGAAATACAGCCCATATATTTTCTGTGTTCAACACAAGTATATGATTGATGTAACACTGCAGGCATTGATGAATGAGGCTGGTTTCATTGCTCCTACCTGTGTTGTGGTTGTGAGTGAGGAACTCCACCTGAAGTGTCTGTCCATAGTGCTGGGCCATGGACACAGGGCTGGGCAGCTCTGGATCACCTGTATAACAGTTCACATCTGCTCCACAGAACACCAGAGACAGAGTCTCCAATACATCACCTGTCTGAATGGTGTTGCACAGAGCCTGAGAGAGAGGGAGAAGGACAGAGAGGGGAGAGCGAGGGGGAAGAGAGAGCGAGAGAGAGAGCGAGAGAGCGAGAGGGGAGCCAGAGAGGGGGAGGTAGAGAGAGAATTAGGGAGCAGAGAAGACAAGTCTGAACTTTTGAGAGCAAGAGATGGAGAGAGAGAGAGAGCAAATGAGAGAAAATCTGAGTGCCTCACTTTGTTGAGGGCTTCCTCTTGGCCAAACAGTGCATGGTAGCGGCGGTATTTGCCCTGGCAGTACTTGGCAGTAACAAAGCGCTGGCGCTCCTCACTGTCACTTGATGGACAGAGCATCTCGCTTGGTGGCATGTTAGCTGCCCAGAAAAGGTTTACCCTGTCGTTACCTAGCAACAGGAACAGCTGGTGAACAGGGAGTGACATTAGAACCTTGACCAGAAAGACTAGTCCTTTTATTAACAGGGTGAACGATGACAAGTTCTTCTGTTCAAAGACAACATACAATATAATACAATTATACAAATAAGATAGGAAGCATAGTGTGAGGAACATAGAGGAAGCCAGTCATATGGGTGGTGAGAATGCAATGTTACTAATCCATTTAATAATACAATAGAATACAAATGAGAAACTGTACCTACCTGATTGAGGTTTTCAGTCCACACCTTTTCATCCATCTTCAAACTGCGGACTTTGGACACACTCTGGCCCAGACCCCTGTGTACTCCTAAACCACAGAGAAATTGATTAGAGAGAGTTAGATTTCAATGTCCTCTACCAGGCACTGTTATCTAACGTACCAATGTGATACAACTGTTATCAACCTGACATATTTTAATTTGATCATTATAGAATCTAATCAAAGCTCTTGAGTCTTGATCCAATAGTTTCTGAGTCTGGACTGACCTCTGGAAATGGTTCTGTACCTGCACAGCACTTGCAGAGGACCACACACAGGTTGACAGAGGCCCAGTCTGGGTAGGTGGCGCCACAATCTGCACAGCGCTGGTTGGCCTCCTCAGCCCAGATCTTCTGGGCCACCACATTGCTGGACAGAGAGCGACTGACACAGGCCTGCAGGGCCTCCACCCACTGCCCCATCTGCTGCTCCGACTCAGCCACAAAACTAACCACACAGAACAGAGGTCACAGGGGGTTCACTGTGGGATGTCATTAAAGGATCATAGATCAGTCTCACTCACCTGAATGTCCTGTAGAAGGTGGTGAGGTTGAAGGACCGTTTGTCTGTGCTCTTCACAGTACCCAAATTCATCTCAATGGAGGTGATGCCAACACCATGGCTGTGCTCCTGATGACATGAACATCACAGGTTTTTAATTTCTTATCAACTCAAAAATGTAGCTAGTTAGCTAGCTAGTCTTAGCTGTTTGAATGGCAGCCTCATCACATACATTGAGAATTCACTGACTGGCTATAGCTACCTGACTAGCTAGATCATCTATCTCATTATCTGCATGAGTAATCATTATTGATATAAATGTTTATTCTCCAGATATACAAGTGTCTCCTCACAGTATAATTAGTTTAATTTCTGATCCAGAAAATGACTCATAAAAGTCATATCTGTAGCTTGTGTTGCTTGCAGTAAGCCATTTTATTTTTGCCCTGAAATGATGTCATCCTTGCATTGTATAGCCAGAAAATTACATCTTCACCAAAACGTAGAAATTACAGCGAAAATGTAGTGATAGACAAAAATGTTGTTGAGGCTAATTTAATTAAGCCTAAATGAGCATTATTATTAAGTGTTATGATTTATATGGAGACCTTTGCCTGTCACCTTTAAGGATACATAACTGACACCAAAGGACTTTCATGCACGTTTTAAAAAATGTATTTCAGGACAAATGCATGCATACATGCACCATGGATACACACCTCAGCGTTCCTATAGAGGAAGACCCTGTCGGAACAGATGACTACATAGAGCTTGGAGCGCAGTCCAATCATCTCCAGGTATCCTTGCTTACTAATGAGCGAGACTCCACTAGCACGCTGTCCACTCGTATCACTGAAGTTCATATGGGACATATCCATGCTGTTACGACACTGCTGAATAGTCTCTTTCAGTACTGACACCCATTCCTCTCTGACGGCTGAAAACACACACACACACACACACACACACACACACACACACACACACACACACACACACATCAAATCAAATTGTATTTATCACATGCACCGAATACAACTGGTGTAGACTTTACATCAATAACACACACAAAGTACTCATATTTCTTCATTGTGATCATTGTTATTTTAGGCTGAACACCTACTGTTGTTCTCAGCACGGAACAAGAAAGTCCTGTTCCTTGTCACCACCTCAAACTTCTGCCCTCCAACATTAACCACTTCAGTGACAGACGGTATGGCTATGACTCTCTTTGAGTAGACCTCCTGAGGAAAAGAGAGAGGAAGAAGGGGAGGGGTATAATTAGTTATTGATGAGGCATTTCAGAGTAGACAGTGTGATCTGTGAACCTGTGTGTGGGTCTATGGAAGACGTCTGAACCTTCTCGTTTTGAAAGTATCGAAGGTACTGTTCATCCAACATCACCCAACGCTTCTGGAAAATAAGAGTCCTGCAGATAAAACAGAGATTACTTACACTCTCATGCATGCACACACACACACATGCATGAACAAACACACAAATGCACGCATGCATGTACAAGCACACACGCACACACGCACACACACCCCTCTCTCTTACCCCTGAGGCGGGGTCTTGTCCAGCCAGCCCATCTTGATAACAGGAGAGTGGTGAAAATCTGAGTCTTCAGGCTTGAATGATCGTGACAGTGTGCAGCCAAGATAGATACTGTCTTCATCAACAGATGATGTTCTCCTGAGAAATTAGACACCCACAAAAGCAGCACGGACATGGATGTTCCCCTTATCTCATCATATTTGCGATAACGAAAACATGTAGACGAAGGCATCACAATCAAATTCACATGTAAAACAGTTCAACAGAAACACACCTGTTTTTCTCAATGTCCTCGTACTCAGCCTCATCCACACTAAACTGACTGCGGAAACAGTTCTGCATGGCCCGCAATGCATCATCCTATGTTGCAGAAAACAAAATGCAAACAATGAATCAAATTATCATCCTTCACACTTCAATGACTTGTGTACAAAAATAACTCTGGCATGTGTACAATCGCTAACATAAACGCCCAACACTCAATCACTCTAAACATCTGTAATCACACAAAAGAAGAGGCAAATAGTACATACACACCCACACATAAAGATGTACAGTTTAACTTACATTGTTTGCCATGACATCTGTGTCTGGCCTCGCTTAGCTCCAGAACAGCTATACAGGTTAGCTGTGACAAAGAGGTGGAGACAAACACGTGAAGGAAATAGGATTACAGTAAAGGAATCATTTCCCTGTTATGTTGGGAAATGTACAGCTGCGTCACAGGTTACAATGAAAAAATGTGCCCGGACAGGTTTACCTGGTGATACTGAATACACCATAATGCATACATCACATGGATAGTCAGCCAAAGTAAATTGTTTACATTTTATGAAAGACAATAGCTGTACAACATGTATTACCCCTGCATGTTGACTCTGACCAAAGAATCAAACACAAAGTCAGAGCTATGAACAAGTGCAGTGACCTCACAACTGATGGTAGGTAAGTAAATTAATACAGTAACTTTATACAATAGCTCAATCTTTATTCCCAAAGTCTGAGAATAGTTCACAGATAAACTAACGGGGTTCGAGTAAGATATGGGCACTGTAATCTGGCCACCTGCTTGGGACGGTGAGCCCCATCCCTGTGACAATGGCCCTCTCATCACAGCAGCTATATACAGGAAGTGGGCTTAAGAAACTGGCATCAGAATCTTCCTCATGAAACTACAATCACCCTGAACAAACAGCCTTTATTTGACATTTACAGCAGCTTCTCCATGACTCCTAATTCATGTCATGGCAAAGGACCACAGGCATAGGAGTAAGGTATAATCATTTACATATTGAGACAGTGTAACTACAGGTCAACCTGTACTGCATCTTCTGTATATTCTACAGTATATTATAAGAAATATAACTCATTTTAATTCTATGAAGAATACCACTCTTTTTTGAAAGTATTCATTACAGTCAATTTTCATCAGATAATCTCAGATTATTATAGAAGCAGATTGGCGAACACAGCAGGCAGGTAAAGCATAGCAGCGAGGCGCAATCTGTGACCTTACCTGTAGCTCTTGGACTCTTGTAACTCTCTGCTGAACTGCTACCTTTGGACATAAGATGTTGACGATGCAATGACGATGCAATTACGATGCTCAGTATAATCAATGTACTGGAGTGATAATATATCCCTGAACATTTATTTTTCCTTTGCAATAGTGAAGTTTAGACTCACCAACCTTAAAAGTATTCTTTCCCTTTTCTCTGGTGAGTGACATGAGAGAGGTGAGAACATTCTTCTCTGTGTAAATTAGGAAATTATGGTAGTGTATTGAAAGAGAGGGGGTGAGAGAGAGAGAGAGAGAGAGAGAGAGAGAGAGAGAGAGAGAGAGAGAGAGAGAGAGAGAGAGAGAGAGAGAGAGAGAGAGAGAGAGCGAGAGAAATCATTGACCACTAGAGAGAATAAGGTCCCACAAAATATCATACGACTCAGACCATAGATAGACTCTATGCATAATGGCCAGACTCAGAGATGGCAGCCTCTGTAGCATGATCAGAATGCTTGAAATAAAGATTTTGGTGGTATGGCATAAGATTATTCTGTGCCCTGTCATACAATAAAAATAAATAACAGCGCCATCTTGCGGCCAGTTGGGATAGCTGGCCAGATGCTCCAAAGTCAAATCGTCATGTTTACCAGTAAGCAGTTGGCTAGATTAGCCAGCGATTCCTGGAAGTATCATATAATAAATACTTTTATGGGAAGTACCCTCTCTGATGTTAGCCGAGAGGCGGACTGTGTAACAAAGATTGTGTCAAATATTTGTTAGATTTCTTGTTGAGTGGGTCACTAACCACGTTTCCATCCACAGTTTTAATGCGAGTAAATCACGACAGCTGTGATGGAAACAGGAAGTTTCGGTACAATTTTATAAATGCCGACAGATAATTTGTTTGTTCGACATGGTGGGATCTTTTTGCGTCGTTAAACTGTATTATGCGTGAAATGCAGGGTTCAGTGGCAAGTCAAATTCACAGACTTTCAAGGATTTTTTCAAGCACTAATATTTATTTTCAAGGACCATCAATTTGTAATACTATAGTTCCTGTTATGCATTTGTTTGTAGTCACCACGTTTAGGTCCCACAGGCTGTCCCAACACATAATGACATGAAAGTGAATTCTGACAGTGTAAAAGGCCCTTAGTTGACTCTAAAATGTTGTATTCTATACCCATTTAAAGAGAAAAAAGTTATTGTGTTTGATAAGATTAAACATTCTCTCAGGGGACCCTATTTAAATTTTAGGGGACCCCACATGGGTCCCAGACCCCAGGTTTGGGAACCACTGTACTACTAACCTCTCTCCCTGCTTGCTTCAATGCTTCCTCTCTGTGTACCTTTGCCACTTCCATTGCAGCCTGACTCACCACTGTCTGTCTCATTACTCACTGTAAAGAAAAGGTTTTTTGTTATAAGAAATTATAGTAGCCCATCTTTTGATTATTGCTAGCTTAATTTCAGTCAACTGCTCCTGCTGAGGTCAGGCTCTGTTCAATGTTAGCTTCTAACTTCATCCTTCTAGCCAGCTAGTTATAGCTAGCTACCTGGCTAACAGCCAGAGCCCTTGAGCTACCTAGCTAGCTAGACATCTGATTGAAATATCAGTGACTATTTCAGTGGCAATTTTAGCATGTAAATCTTGGTGGGGCAAACTTTTAAAAAATAATGTTGATGGATGCCAGCAAAGCCACTACACAACACAACACTAAAAAATACATTAATTGCACTATAACAATGACAAACGGTGCCCACAAACTGTTAGGGCCTACATAAAGCTGTCCCAACAGCAGAGCTTTCTTTCAGCACCATGGAGTGAATCCTTTCCACCGCTACACCTGGCTATCAGCGGAGCCTTGTCTGGCAGCAAAACAGTTTATTCAGCCTCATTTACTGCCTTTTTAAAAAACAGAACTGATATGGCTGACTTGCTTAAACAAATGTGGTTTCTACTGACAATTGAGATGTACAAACTATGGCATAAGGGAACGATGAACGGATAACAGGCAATCCGCAATTTCGATTAAGACATTCATGAGCGAGCTAAGACGGACGTAGTCAATATAACTATTTGTTCAACACTTTTGAAATGTACAGAGACAGAATTCAGAACATGGGTCGTTCATACAGTATTCTCTCTGTACACCAAGTCAGAACCTTAGGATAAATAAAGGGGGCATATAAGCAGACAATGAAAGCTCTTACAATATGCGATGATGACATTTCTCTAAAACAGGCTATAGGCTACATGTCCCCACCAAGCCAGAACAGTAGGCTAAGTTAGATACCAAATTATTAGGGTGAGGCACATGGGCTACTAACAGCTTACTACACTACAAACACTTAGTATTACTTTCTTAGCTACAGTATACATATCTCCCTGGCATATTACATCATTTATGCAGCAGCATACAATACATTTTTGGACTCACCTTGTTGTGCTCACTTGAACAGGATGTTGGCGCGGCGGTCCTTCTTGTGGGCAAGTTTTGTCATCAAACTTTGTTATCAAAGTCTGGCATTCTCTGGATTTATGGTGTTTTCAAGACAACTGGGAAATCGGGAAAGAAAACAAGGTCGAATCATGACGTTAGTGATCTTCAGGTCGGAGCTCTAGAAAGAGGCCAGAGTCGGAGCTCATTTTTTCATGAGTTCCCAGTTGTCTTGAACTCACTGAAGTCTGAGATTTCCCAGATCCAAGTTTCCAGTTGTTTTGAACACAGCAGAAGTCATGCTGGATTGACAGCATGGCTAATGTATTCAACATTTTCTGGCCCATGGTGTTGCATGTGAATATTGATCCTTTTAAGCTTGGAAAAAAGACCCTTAAACCCAGACCACTGAATAGCAGGCTAGTGATTGCTTTGCAACGCTTGCAGTTAGCCACTGATTCCTTCCAAATCACTCACTTTTGAATTTGCAATTTCCAACTTGTTGTGTAATGTTTATGTCCAATAAGCACCGATAAGTTTTATCTATAATTTATCTTCATATGACAAGGATTTGCCAGTAGATTGTCGACTTGATTCATTTTAGTAGAAGCTCTTATCCAGAGCAACTTACAGTTAGTGAGTGCATACATTATTTTTCTATTTTTTTCATACTGGCCCCCTGTGGGAATCAAACCCACAACCCTGGCGTTGCAAACGCCATGCTCTACCAACTGAGCTACATCCCTGCCAGCCATTCCCTCCCCTACCCTGGGCCAATTGTGCGCCGCCCCAGAGGCTGGATTTGAACCAGGATCTCTAGTGGCACAGCTAGCACTGCAATGCAGTGCCTTAGACCACTGCGCCACTCTGGAGTTATTCATGAGTCATGATGATGACTGCTTGTCTAGCTTGCTAGCGAAGATTTTGAAAGTATGATGTTGACATGATCAGTCCAATCAAAGCTACGGTAGATATAATGTAATTTGACGTCATTTTATCTGTGGCCAATGACCTTGAGCCTTCTTGGATGGGCACTTCTATTGTCAATCTATGGCAGCACCCAAAGGGCTTGAATTTTCGAGCTCTACTAGTAGATTTTGCTGTGATGTAGTGTCCCCATGAGTGACAGAACACTGAGCCAATCATGGCGCAACTAGAGAACATTACCAACCCCTACACTCTGTATTTTCTGCTGGCTGCCCCACCACCACAGAAAGCACTGAGCTAGGCTGAAACACCTGCATTTTGGAGCTGCCTTACTCAAGAAAACAAAAAAGAGACCATGATTGTATGCAGCTTTATTAACTAAATGTTTTACATTGTTTGCCAACTGATATGTGACACATATTAATGCCAAAATAACATGCAAAACTGGCACACCCAAAACGTATCATAATGTTTTAAGCTAAACAGGTGGGTATCAAAACAGGTGGGGCTCTGCCCCATCTGCCCTGAATGAGGAGTCGCCACTGGACTATTTACCAGTTGTACACTCATTCTCCGATAGTCAGGGGGTTATTGTTTGGGGGATGTCTGTTGACACCGCAAGAGTCGAGAGATGTTTTTAAAAATCCCACTGTCGGAGGCGTCTCTGCCGCTTGCCACTGTCGGTCTGGCTGTGTTAGTTCGTTTCACCTCTCAGCCTATGTCGTGGTCGGAGTTTCCAGGCGTTGGACAGAGTGGTGAATGAATGCGCTGCTTACAAGGCAAATCCGGGGTAACAGGCGAACATAACGAGCACACAAAAAATAATTATTGATTCAACTCGTTCGCAGAGGTAGGCGCGATTGGAACTCAGATCAAGAAGCCTTCAGAGCGTGGTCAACCCTGGGAATGCCATAATAACTGGGGAAACGATCCTTAACAAAATAAAAAGGCGAGTAAACGCCATTTCAGAAATAAAAAGGTGTGTAAACGGCGTTTACCCTCCACTACATCCCTGGATGGGTCTGGCAAAACCATTCATAAACATCTATAATCTGCCAGCAGTATTGAATCTTTGCCTGGTATTTTAGCTATCGATGTGACGTTTGGTGGCGCCTAATCAGGCAATCAGTCAGTTCTGTACCTGCCTGGCGGAGTGGCAGTGTGGGTGGAATGCAGTGGTGTAGTGGAGGGTATACGCAGGTATATGCCATATACCCACTTATTTTTCCGTGGACACTGCGTATATTCACTTCTTAATTAATATCGCTTAATTAATATCGCTGATGGAACAGATCAGAATGTTTAGCTTGTTTTTTTTATTTTTTTATAAACGATTAGGCGCAGCCATGTACGGTCGGCGGTAGGCCTTCACGTGAATGTTCCAAAATGCAATTTGCGGGAAAACGCTGTTTTAAAATGTGCACTGCACATGCGAGTGGTTTCATGGACAGAGATGGAAATATCCGTTCGAAATTTAGAAAGAGGGGGGATTTCAATATGCAACTACTATCATGGGTTGCTAATATGACTACGATCATGCCTTTGGCTGCTGGACACGAAAGAAAGTTGAATGAAAATCAATAGAACAGGAGAAACATATGAGTAAGTCTTAATAAAAAGAATTGCCTCCACGTTTCTATGGGGAGAGTTTGGCTATAGGCTAATTTCAATTAAGGTTAGACATGCCTCATAATATGAAGTAAAACGTCCAGGTTTTAAACAATTAAGGAATAGAAAAAATATAGCTATGTTAATGATAGGCCTAAACATCTTCTGGTAGATGGAAAGGCTTTCCCAAAAATATTCTCTATTAAATGTTAACTACAGTAGCTACAAAGTATCCTATGCCTACCTGTCAGAATGATATCATGATTATTTGC